AAACCCACTGTCATCGAGTCAATTTCACCTCATGATGGCCCTACACAAGATTTCCATGACTATGTACCTTTACAGGAGCAGACAGTTTCTCATCTCTCCCCTGACTATGTATATGGGGTGGTAGGTTTGACCCACTAACCTTGCAGTTAACAGCCCAATGCCTAAACCACAGCTTCTTATACCTATGCATATTACTGTGAAATTCTGGATTGCTAAAATCAAAAGGTCCTAGAAAATGGCTATATAAGCCTATCTTGGAAATCCTATGCAGGGTCGCTATAGGTCAGAATCAACTCAACAGCACTTAACAACAACAATGTTGTAGTTAGGAACCACTAAGTTCCAACTCATAGTGAACACATGAACAACAGAACAAAACACTGCCCTGTCCGGTCTGTGCCATTCTCACAATTAATATTTTTGATCCCATTGTTGTAGCCATTATATTGTATGTTGTATAGCTACACTGTTGTTGTTTTTAAGTGCCATTGAGTCAGTTCCAACTCACAGTGAATCTGTACAGAGTTTCCAAGGAGCAGCTTTGGGTTTGAATTGCCATCCTTGCAGTCACCAGTCCAGTGCTTATCCTACATCATAACACAAGGACTCCATATATATCTATGCTGTTGGTACGTGTCATCTAGTCAGTTCCAACTCAAAGAGACCCTGCATAAGGTTTCTGAGAAGTAGCTGGTGGGTTTGAACTGCAGATCGTATGGTTAGCAGAAAAGTGCTTATCCTACAGTGGTACATCAGGACCCTGTATATGTCTATGTTGTTGTTAAGTGTTGTTGAGTTGGTTCCTACTCATAGAGATCCCATATAGGGTTGCCGAAGAGCAGCTGGTGGGCTTGAACTATTGACCTTGTAACTCGCAATCCAGTGCTGATCCTATAGCACCACACAGATGTCCATGTATACCTATGTTTGTTGTTGTTAAATGCCACCGGGTATGTTCCAACTCATAGCAACCCTGTATTCCAAGGAGCGACAGGTGAGTTTGAACCGCCAACCTTGTGGTTCAAACTGACCTTGCGGTCCAGTGCTTTATCCCACAGCACCACACCTGGACTCCGTGTATATGTATTGTTGTTGCTAAGTGCCTCAGAGTCAGTTCCGACCTATAGCAATATTGTATAGGGTTTATGAAGAGCAGCCTAGTGAGCTTCATCCGCCAATCTTGCAGTTCAACCTACTTTGCAGTCCAGTGCATTAACCCACAGCGCCACACCAGGACTCCATGTATATCTATGTTGTTGTTGTTAAGTGCTGTCAAGTAAGTTCCGACTCACAGCAACCCTGTGTAAGGTTTCCAAGGAGCTGCTGGTGAGCTTCAACCACCAACCTTGTGGTTCAAATTGACTTTTCAGTCCAGCGCATTAAACCACAATGCCACACCAGGACTCCGTATATCTATAGTCATATGTAAATATGATTGTGTGTGCCTCATATATATTCACAGATCTTATAAAGCACATAGGTGTCAGCTACTAAGATTTCCTATACATGTATAAACAACTAGTGGAATTGGTTTACTGGATTTAAGGGTTTAGGACCATAGTCTCATGGATTAATAATTTAGTCAAGTGGCATAACAAAGTTTTCCACCCTAGTTCGGTGAGTTGCATCTGGCGTATTACAAGTTTTTAAGCAGCCATCTAAGATACAACAATTGCTCTCTACTTATCTGGAGTAAAGAAAATGAAGGTAGCTGAAGACTCACTGAAGAAACTAGTCCACGACTAAGAACTCACAAAAACCATGGCACTGTTGTTAACATTGTTAAGTGCCGCCTAGTCAGTTCCAACTCATAGCAAGGGTTTCCAAGTAGCAGCTGGTGGCTTTTAACTGCTGACCCAATGGTTTGCAGTCCAACGCTGAGCCACACCACAAAAACCATGGCCTCTTCTAATCTAAGAGCAGATTACAACTAGACCAGAAGATCTAGATGGTACATAGCTACCACTACTGACCATTCTGACGAGCAACACATTAGAAGGTCCGGATAAGAATGAGAGAAAACAAGAACAAAACTAAAATTCATTAAAAACAAACAAAAAATTTTACTGGACAGGTAAGATACTGGAGGATCCCCCAATACGATTGCCTTAAAATGCCTGTGACAGTTAAGTTTTATGGCAATTAGGCTAGGCCAAGATTCTCAATGAGTTGATAGTTAAGATGTAGTAATGCCCCATGAAAAGATCAATATAATGCAATCACCCTATGATACAATATGCTGTGAGCAGCCAATAAATTGAAAGAGTTTCCACAGGGGTGTGGACTGCTTCCAATATATTGAACATTCAGGTACAGCTTGTTACTTGTCTGCTGAGTCTGGACCCTACATTTGGCTTGTCATCTGACCTCCAGCTCTTTGGACTTGACCCAGTAGTCTGCTCTACTGCTTTCCAATCCTGAGAGTCATCAGCAGTCTGTCATCTTACCTGCCAAACCTGCCTGCTGGCTTTCTGACCTGCTGATCTTAATCAGCTCTACAGCTACATGAGTAAAAAGCCTCTAGTCTGACATGTGACCCATGGACTTGGGACTTGCACACCTCTACAACTATGTGAGCCATTTCCTTGATATAAATGTGTCTTTATATATACAATTACAAGCGTCAATGGTTTTGCTTCTCTAGAGAATCCAAACAGCAAATATTTAGTCAAAATTAAAAATGAGAACAGGGGCAGGGAAGCAAGAAAAATAGGAACAGAACAGAAAAAATGAGAATACTAACACATTGTGAAAATTAAAATCAATGACCTAGAACAATTTGTATAAAAATTATTCATTAGGAACTTAACTCACTGTGTAAACGTTTACCTAAATAAAACAATAAGATAAGAAGAAAGAAAAATAACTCAAGAAATGAAAAAAAAAATTCAGTATGGGTTCAGACTTATAAAAGGAAGTAAAAATTCTAAGGAGTAATAATAGTTTAACATTTCTAAATGACTTCCAATCTAGAATTCTACACCTACTAAGTTATCAATCAAGAATACAAGTGAAAAATTAATCTTACAAGGTCTCAAATTTACCTCCCATACAACTTTTCCCAGTTAAGATGTAGTATACAGCAAATTCTCATTTAGTCCAGTGTGCTACTTTAAAAGATATATGTCAAAAATTGCACCTCAACCTTGAATGTTTAAATAGTATGAACAGTTTGCTGGTTTTAAGATTATCTTTTAGCCTGGGAATACTAGAGATCATTTATAGGAATAGGGTTTCAGATAATAAACTAAGAACTTAGAAGCAACTGCACCTACTTTAAAATGCTGTATTAATGCTGCATCAAAATAAGGTAGCAAACAAAGACAAAGGATCCAAGAAAGAGCTGATACAACACAAAATGAAAAAGGTCCTAGAATGACTGGTATACGCTAAGCATAAAGAGAAACTAGTATATATTAGAACAGATCAGAAACTAATAGAAGCCCTGATACACTTTATATCTTGGAAATTTTAATAAGCAGAGCAAAGTTAGAGGTTAAATGACAAACAATGCACAGACAAAGCAGTAAATAAAAAATAAGATTATTATTAAATTCAGGAAAAACAGAGGTATAAGGAAACCATTACATGATTAGTTACAAATATCTTTGTTGCTGTTACTAAGTACCATCCAGTTGGTTCCAACTCACAGCAACCCTCTACAGAGTTTCTTAAGTTGACACATCAAAATAATGTAATATCTAAAATGACTTAAAGAAAAGAAAAGAAAATGGAGTTCTGATGTGGCGCTGTAGCTCAATAAGTTGGACTGCAAAGTCAGTCTGAACTGCAAGATCATCAGTTCAAGTTCACCAGCCACTCCTCGGAAACCCTAAACAGGGTCGCTATGCATCAGAAACAACTCTATGGCACTTAACAATAACAACAACAAAATTACTAAGTAAGAGTGCTGGTATGACACTATAGGATAAGCACTGGGCTGCTAAAACGTAAGCTCGGCAGCTCAAACCCACCTTGGAAACCATATACAGGGTTACTATGAGTCAGAACTGACTCAACAGCAGTTAACAACAACAAAATTATAAACAGGGAGTGCGGTGGCTCTGTAGAAGAAACACTGGACTTCAATTCACAAGGTTGCAAGTTTGAGCCCACCAGCTGCTCCATGGGAGAAAGATCAGGCTTTCTGCTCCCAAAAAAGATTTACAGTCTTGGAAATCCTATATAATATAATATCCTTATGAGTAGGGACCAACTCAATGGCATTTAAACAACAACAAAATTATAAAAATATTAGGAATATGGAGAAATGGGGAAAGTAAATAAATAGTACAATGTTGTGGGTAGTGTGGTAAAAAATTAAACCTCATCTTCAAACTAAACACATTACATAGGGCCTGAAATGGGGGGTGGGGGGTGGGGGTAGGGAGGCACCAATGTAAGCATGCTAAAAGTCTGGAGAAAAGTATCAAAATGACCAGTTAAGACAAACGATATGCCTATAAAGTAAACAGTAACACCCATGAGGAACATACACCTTAGAGTAGGCGGTATTTGCCCAAAAATAAAATACAGAAAGTAGGAATGAGTAGGAAAAGAAGGGTGAATGGAAACAAGGAGCTAAGGGAAGAATTGAGAAGAGTGCTATTTACATTGAGGGAATTGCAATTAATGTCACAAAACAAAATGTGAATGAACTGTTGAATGAGAAACTAATGTGCTTTCACCAAAACTGCAATAAAATGTTCAAAAACTTAAAAATCAGCTAAGAGTTGAGGTGACTGCCTCTTGAAAGGGGAACCTGTAAGGTGAAATAGGTAGCATTGCTAACTAGCCTGAGAACACTATTTGACTCTAAAGTATATTCATATTCAACTTTGATAAAACTAAAACAATAACAAAAATTATATAAATTAATACAAGTTTTGCCACCCTTGATAAAAGGAGAGCAACACTGCTAAAAATTGGTAATTTAATGCAGACTTCTTTATCATAATACCATACATAACAAAAGACCAGTGTTTTCCATAGTTAATTACCTTTTGATTTTCTTCCACTTCAGTTCGTATTTCCAAACTCACAGCTGTTTTAGTTATTGCTCTAAGGGAGAATACCATTGTAAGTGCTTAGTTTAACAACTGATATAAATGCCCCTCTATTTCCTTACATTTAAAAAAAGGAAAAAGCATTAAGGCTTTAAATTCAATAAATACATATTTTCCCTCTCTAAGATGTGCCTTTTTCTTTTTCCATGACTGCAAGACATAACACCAAAGAAAACCAGAAAAATAATAGCACTTTAAACCAAGTTCATTTACTACAAAGTTCTTAGTTTATTATCTCAAGTGCTCACAGACTAAAAGATAATCTTAAACTAGTAAACTGTTCATCTTATTTAAACAATCAAGGTTAAGGTGAAATTTTTGACATGTATCTTTTCAAGTAGCACACTGGACTAAACGGGAATTTACTATATGACTTTTAAGTCCTATCTAAGAATTATACTTAAAGGATAATAAATACTCAAATAAATTTATTTACAAAAATCTCGTAAGTTAAGATACATTAGTGATTCAAGAAAAAGACTGGCAGTCAATTAGTTCTAAAAATCAATTCATTCTAAGTCATTAGTTCTAAAAATCTGAGTTTTTAAACAATGTTGCCTTGCAGGGTAACATTATACAATTAAAATAATGTTAGAAAACCTGCATTCTGTATCTTATTTGGTCACTAAGGGCAAACGTAAATGGAACTCTTAAAACTACAGTTTGTGTGAGATTCAAGATTGGCTACATATGCATACACTATATTTTGTTGACTCGTCCAATTCTGAAATTTAGGTATTATTATTCCCATTTTGTTGATAAGGAAACTGAAAGAGATTGCTGTTTACTGCAAAAGTAACACAACTAATAAATGCCAGGATCAAAAGCACAATATAGCTATTAAACCACAAAATGCCGTCTTATTTCTCTTAAAAACAATTAGTACTAGTAGCAGTGGTAATAGTAATAAAGAACTTTACCGTGCTTGCAGGTAAAATGAGTCTAACTGGGTATTATGATGAAGAAAACTTCTCAAAGTTTTAGTTAATATTACCTTGCTTTAGTAGGGAAATTTTGACTAAGATCCTTCATAACCACCAAAGCTAACTCAGGAGGAGCAGCCAAGATTCGGGCAGCAGTCTGGAAACTTAGATCTGCAACAATATAATTTAATGTGCATTAATCTAAGGCAATGAGAGGTAGAAAAAAAAAAACCCTACACATTATTGTTTTTAAGTGCCATCGAGTCAGTTCTGACCCAAAGTGACCCTGTATAGGGTTTCTGATGAGCAGCGTGCGGCTCAAATCAACTTTGCAGTTCAGCACATTAACCCACAGTACCACACCAGGACTTCCACACATTGACTTCCCATTATTTTCTGCAAAATAAGAATGACTAAGAACATCAAGGGAGAAGAGCAGAATGCAGGACCCTACCCACAGAAGCAGGCCAGAGATGGAGGCAGAATCAAAGACATGGAGAGAGGGAACAGCTGGGGACTCTAGACCTAGAGAGGGAGAGGGGCTGTGTACTGATGACCAGGGGGAAGGCTTATAGGGTATCCCCCTTGGTTGGTTGATGATGCATGGAGGGGATTGTAACCATGGCAATGAAACAATGCACAATAGGATGAATGTAAAGCTAATATTCTCCCATGTAAACGATCACATAATTCACAATAAAACATTTAAAAAAAAAGAATGACTAAGAAAACAATTGGAGTCTTGGTGTGGTGCGGTGGAATAAAGCACTGACTACAAGGTTAGTTTAAACCACAAAGTTGGCAGTTCAAACTCAACAGCTGCTCCTTGGAAACTCTATATAGGATCACTATGAGTTGGAACCAACTTGTCACTTAACCACAATAACAACAAGAAAGCAGCTATCAGAAAAGCTGACCTTTGCTTAAGTTTCTACTGACTTCATAGCTCCCTAAAGAATATTATTATAGCAGTCCCTCAATATACCTACTTTAAAGATTAGGTGATATACTAACAACTCTTGTTGTTAGCAGCTGTCAAGTTTTCTGATTCATGACAACTTAGTGCATACTGGAACAAAACACTGCCAGGTTACACACAATAGCCATGATTACCTGTAAGTTAAGAGCCACTGCAATCAATGGTTTTTATTTAACGGTTTTTCTAATTAGATCTTTAGGCCTTATTTCTAGTCCATGTTAGTCTGGAAGCTCTACTGAAACCTATTCAACATAATAGAAATACACAAGTCTTCAGTAACAAACAGGCAGTGTTGCACGAGGTGCACTGAGCACAATCAAATGGGGGCCTTTAGCATAAAATGAGAATTCTAGCACTGAACCACCAATTTCTCATACTAACTAAATTGAGCCCAAATCCTTTGCCTTTTATGTTTGGGGAGAAAACATAATAGTTCTTTGGAGCCGGAAAGTACTCATACACCCTGTCATGTTGATATACCATGAACATTCTAGAAATACAGGGTTTTTAAAATATATACATATAGTAACATAACAACTAAGACAAAAATGCTTCCAGTAATAACTGCTTATGTACATGGTCACATAGAGACAGATTTTACATATTAATTGTAAATAGTCATTCTCCTTAGTGTTATCTATTTGTCTATGAAATGACTTTTTTCTATGAATAACAATTAATAATATTTTAAAATATGTGGTATTTTATAATTATGTGACTATACAAAATAAAATTCAAATTTGCATTTTTATATCACAAATTATCAAAATATAGGCTGCTGTTTTCTCTGGAATTTTATTACCTTGCAATTGCCAGACTTTTAAAGGTGCCATTTCATTTGTGCTCTCCACAAGATGCTTTCTGAGTTCTTTCAACTGCCCCTTCAGATCAGGGTGTAGATCTCTAAAACAAAATCATTTCTTTAATGTGTATTTTTTTTTCTCAGCACATACTTAAGGTATTGTCATGATTTTTCCCTTGCCAACCTGAGGAAAATATCTACACTATACTAAGGAGTCCTGGTATGGTGCTATACGATAAGCACTGGACTACTAACCAGAAGTTAGTGGTTCAAATCCAATAGGCACTCCTTCAATTTCAACATCACTGGCTTTAGTGGTTGGTGTGTAAATATGAATACCAACGAAATTGACTGGTCCTCCTTGTAGGCGTATAGGTATTATCCTATCACAGACAGCACTATACGTCAAGATATATTTTGAAATGGTCTTTTTCATGATAAATGAGATGCATTTCTCTTTAGTTTTTCATTCCCAGTATAGAAACCATATGACTGTCAGATTCAAAATGGACTTCAATCATTTTTAATTTATCTTCTGGATTTTAGTCATTAGTGTCTAATGTATCAAATCTGTTCTTGAGATGATCTCTAAATTCAGGTGGGGTATGTTCAAGGTCATATTTTGACTCTTGTGGAGTTTTACAATTGTCTTCAGTTCCAGCCTAAACCTGCATATGAGCAGTTGAAGGTCTGTTCCACAGTCTATGCCTAACCTTGTTCTGATGATAGGAAGCTTACTTACCTTCTCTTCCCAGAGATGTAGTCAATTTTATTCCTGTGTATTTCTCTGGTGAAGTCCTTGTGTATATCAGACTTTATCATCGTTTATAAAAGATATTTGCAATGAAGAATTGGTCTTTCAAAATTCTATCATGCAATCTCCAGTATATTTTCTTTCACTAAGACCATATTTCCCAACTACTGATCCTGCCTCTGTGTTTCCAACCTTTACATTCCAATCACCAGTACTTATCAAAACATCTTGATTGCATGTTTGATCAATTTCAAACTGACTTTGGTGACTGGTACATAAATTTGAAAATAGTGCTATTAACTGGTCTTCATTTGTATATTATCAAAGATAGCATTTTAAGTCACAATGTTATCTTGAAATATTCTTTTTGATGATGAATGTGACCTATTCCTCCTCAGCTTATCATCCCTAGCATAATAAACCATATGACTGTCATCAAGGCAAGCAATCAAGTCCCTTCAGGGCAAAGCCCCTTCCAAGACTGAAACTTAAAGGGAATACACGAGCCGGCATGTAATCTTGATGGTGACCACGTTGGTCTACTGATGAGTGGAAGAGGGGGAAAGCAACAATGAAGATGTGGGCTGAGTCAGACCATGTTACATAGAATCCTGTTGACCTGGAGTATGGTGAGACCTGGTTGGCCAGAAGTATGGTGAGACCTGGGCACTCCTGAGCCAATGAACAAGGACATAGCCACACACGGCTAGATCAGAGAGTGAAGCCATCAGCTGATATGAAGTGAAAGGAGATGCACAAGAATGCCCATACTTGCAGATAGTACCAGCTTTAATGGCTGGATGATCAGAACTCAAGTAGAGGAAGATAAAAAAAAATTTTTTTTTTTTTTTATAAAGAAAACAAGTGTAAATCACTATAATTTGATGAATTTGACCTATATTTATGGATGTAGTAGCTTAAAATACCAACCAAGAAGGAAGGAATCTTCATAGCAAGGACAATTCCCATCCCTTCAGTACAACAGGGTTGATAGGGATGGGTTACTTAGACACTGGCTACCTAAAATGGAGGGGAAAGAGGGGAGAAGGCTATAAAGGCACAAAGTGGCTGGCTTACAAGTTTTCAAGAGGGAGTTTAGTTTCAGAGTGGGCGGGGGAAGATAAAATCTTCACTGAGTGGTTTTCATCCTGTCTAGATGGGCCAGGTGAATGGAGATGGGGATAAGACTCTTATGATTCACTAGTGAGTAATTGTTATCATGGCTGCTATTGTTGCAACTGTAAAGGTAGAGGTTTTGTTGAAAAAGCAGCGAGCTGGTCATCTTGCAGTCCAGGAGGGGAGGATCCTGGGACCATCAAGGGAGAAGAGCAGGAGCTGAGTGTGGGACCCTATTCAGAGAAGCGGCGACACCCGATACAGAGGAGAGATGGAGCAGCTGGGGACTCTAGACTTATGTAGGTAGAGAGGCTGTGTGCTGGCAGACAGGGGGCAGGCTTGCAGGATATGCCCTTTGGTTGTTTGAATGATTGTGTATTCTTGAGAGTTTTAGTGTAGATCTAAAAAAAAAAACCAACAGAGGGAATAGAAGCAAATACTGTTGAATAACGACGCATGGAGGGGATTGTAATCAATTCAATGAAAGAAAATATGATAGGATGAGTGTAAAACTGATGCTCTTCCATGTAAACTATCACTCAATTCACAATAAAAATTTGAGAGAAAAAAAGAAATGGTTGATGACAAAGAGCTAAAAATACTGAATGATGCACTGAAGGCACTGGCAAAGAACAAGGCTCTGGGAATTGATGGAATACAAATTGAAATCTTTGGATTTTGATGAAATACAAATTGAATGCAAACTTAAGCAGCACTGGAAGCATTCACTCATCTATGTGAAGAAATTTGAAAGTCAGCTACCTGGCCAAATAACTGGAAGAGATCAGTATCTCCAAGGAGAAGTGACCCTAGATTATGCGGAAATCACTGGATAATACCAGTATCACATGCAAGTAAAATTTTGCTAAAGATAATTCAAAACGCCTGCAACAGCAGCACATTAACAGGGAACTAACTGCCAAAGGTTCAAGCTGGATTCAAAAGAGGACATGAAACTAGGAATATCATTGCTGATGTCAGATGGATGTTGGCTGAAAGCAGAGAATACCAGAAAAATGTTTACCTGTGCTTTATTGACTATGCAAAGGCTTCTGACTGTGTAAATCATGACAATCTATGGACAATATTGCAGAGAATGAGTTTTCTGGAACATTTAATTGTGCCAATGAAGAACCTATATATAGACCATAAGGCAAGTGTTCTAACAGAACAAGGGAACACTGAATGGCTTAAAATTAGAAAAGGTATATGCCAGGGTTGTATTCTTTCACCATACTTATTCAATCTGTATGCTGAGCAAATAATCTGAAAAACTGGATTATATGAAGAAGAACATGGTATCAGTATTGCAGGAAGATTCATTAACAACCTGTGATATGCAGATGATACAACCTTACTTGCTGAAAGCGAAGTAGAATTAAACTATTTATTGATGAAGATCAAAGACACAGCCTTTGATATAAGTAGCACCTCAATGAAAAGAAACCAAAAGTCCTAACCACTGGACTAATAAATAACATCAAGGTAAATGGAAAAAAGATTGAAGTTGTCGAAGACTTTGCTTTGCGTGGATCAACGATCAACACTCAGAGAAGCAGCTATCAAGAAACCAAATGACATATTGCATTAGGCATATTTGCTGCATAAGACCACCTTACAGTGTTCAAGAGCAAAGAGGGCAGTTTAAGGACTAAGGTGGGTCTGACCCAAGTCATGGTATTTTCAGTAGCCTCATATGCATGTGAAAGTTGAACAATGAATGAATAAGGAAGACTATAGAGAAGAATATTAAAAGTACCATTGTTGTTCTTGTTAAGTGCCATCGAGTCGATTCCGACCCATAGCAACCCTGTATAGGGTTTCCAAGGAGCAGCTGGTGAGCTTGAACCACCGACCTTGCAGTTCAAATGACTTTAAAGTACCACAGACTGCCAAAAAACAAACAAACAAATCTCATACTTTGGACGTATTATCAAGAGGGACAAGTCCCTTGAGAAGGACATCATGCTTGCTAAATTGAGGGTCAATGAAAAAGAGGAAGAGCCCAAGTGAGATGGATTGGTACATTGGCAACAACAAAAGGCCCAAATGTAGAAGTGATTGTTAGGCTGTTATAAAACCAGGCAGTGTTTCACTCTATTGTGCATAAGGTCGCTAAGAATTAGTAAAGACTCAACAACATCAAACAAAAACAATAACACACAATTATCCACCCACAACAGAAACAAATGCAACATTTAAAATAACAACTAAGATTTTTCCACTATAAAATTCTATGCTTTCATAATGTGTTTACAGAATGATACTTACTCAAATCAGCATTCTTAATCCCTTTACATATAACAAATTCTTATAAAATGTACTTCAACATGTATAAAAATTCCTGTGCTTTCTCTGCATTTTTTTCTGGCAAACAGTCAAGAATTATCTAATGTAAAACACACTTAATTTTCTTGAAACAAAATTAAGTTAAACAATTTTATTTTTCCCATTTTGCCCAACAGTAAAATGGCATGTAAAGTTATAATATGAACTGAAAAGCACAGAAAAAGAAATAAATTTAAGCCATAGGAGGGCAGTATATCTGTATCATTTAGTATGTTTCAGAATATCGGCAAATCATAAACTAAAAGATCCTGATGGCACAATGGTTTAATATTCAACTGTTAATAGGAAGGTCTGTAGTTTGAACCTACTAGAATCTACAGGAAAAAGATGTTGGCAGTCTACTTCTGAAAAGGTTACAGTCTTGGAAACCCAATAGGACAGTTCTATTCTGTCCTATAGGATTCCTATGAGTTGGAATCACCTTGATGGCAATGAGTTTTAGATTTAATATTAACTAAGTGGAAATCTCTTTACTTAAAAATAAATATATAGAGACCTGTGCATCAGATAGTAATTGGAAAGATGATGTTTAGAATGTGAGGAAGCCTGGAGATTTAGAGAATACAGACATTTCCCAAAACAGACACAATATGTTCTTTTCATTGTTAAGTGCCACTGAATCCGTCCCGACTCATAGCGACACTGTACAAAGTTTCCAAGGAATGGCTAGTGAACTTGAACCACCTACCATGGTGTTCAAGCCAACCTTGCAGTCCAGTGCATTATCCCACAATGGCACACCAGGACTTCAGGTACAATATACATACCTTAATTTTCCAAAAAGGAATCCTTGAACTTCATCAATAGGATCATTTTCTCCTATCACTGTGGCATTTACTTCAGTTCCTGTAAAAGTGTAAGAAATACATGGTGAATTGCTCAGATTAAAAAGAAAAAGGTTACGAAGCTCAGAAAGTTTTCTAAACGTAATATTTAATGTTAGATATCCCAATGAACATCTTACAGTAATTCCTTAAACAGAATAAATGCTTTAATATTTCCACTAGTCCTGAATAAAGAATGTATTTTTCCCTTAAACTTTTAAAAAATTTATGTTAAAAATTTCAAAATTATAAAACAGATTTTTCAAGGTTAAAATTTGGAAATAATTTCCAATTAGACAATAAATTCCTTAATATAATTAGTCACAGAAATAAAAAATGAGATACTAAATTATCTTCCATCTACTTTATTACTAAAATTGATAGTTTTTATATTTATTTTTAAGGAAGAAACAAAAAGATTACACATATAACTTTGGCTGAAATAAAAAATCACAAACCCTAGGATTTTAAATAGGAGTCTTAGTGTGACACTGTAGGATAAGCACCGGACTGCTAACCACAAGACCAGTGGCTCCTCAGAAACCCTAAAAAGGGTTGATATAAGTGAGAACTGACCGGAGAGAATGTAACAATAATATCCATAGTAAACTGTTTCAAATGCAGAAAATAGTAATGCAAAATTTTTTTATTAATTCCATATAAAGTAGGCTAAGATGTCACAAATTAATTGGAGTCACAAATTAATGACTATTTATGAACTACACAACAGCAACAATAGCAGTACTTACTAAATTATTTATTGTTGTTGTTGTTAAGTACCATTGACTCATAGCCACCCTGTATCGGGTTTCCAAGGAGCAACTGGTGAGCTTGAACCAGTGACTTTGCAGTTCAGTACATTAACAATGACTTGAAGTACAGCACATCAACTCATAGTGCCATACATCTTATTTATTCCTTCCAAAAACTTTAAGAAATAGCATCACCCACATTTACAAAGATGAAAATTATGACCTAGAAAATTTGCCTAAGGTCACCCAACTCATATGAAGCAAAACCAAGATTCAAACATTAAGTTGGTCATATTCCTAAATCTATTATTTTATTAGAACATATTCTGATTTAACTCAAATTTAAAAAGAAGGAAGAAAAAAAAAAAACAAACCCATACGCTGTTCTTATTTTTAAAATTCACCTTTCACCTGAGTATCATCCTTGGCCTTGTACTCAGTGCTTTTAATAGCCAGCTCCACACCATAGCCAGAAAGATAAACAGGCTCCTTTCCAGGGTTCTGTAAGTAGAGTAATGTTTTTCACCATTACAACACTGCTCATCAAAATGGCATGATACAAACATTTTATGTTATACGTGTACTACCCATCATCTACAACTGATTCAATATAAAATTTGAAACACTGAAAATCTCAGAACACGTTTTTAAAAAACATTAGCCATGTGGCCAATACAGTTCACCAAAATAATTTTTTTTTTTTTAGTAACAAATAACTTACCAAGTTACCAACAATAACATATCCACTTACCTAGCAGTTAAAATACAGATTTTCTGGGAGTGAGGGGGGTTATCAATTTAGGGTTTATACATGAGGTGCCTTGAATTTACTTGGTATGACTTTTCTATCCAAAGTCTTCTTAATTCCCATCAAGTGAATGGGAAGAACCATGCAAATAAGGTACATAGGATTCCAATGCTGTCATTCCTTAGTTTTACCCTGCAGCCACGTTTAAAAGGAGCTCAGAAGCAGTGAGCTAAGCCCTACAACTTGGAGAGTGAAGTGTCCAGCTGATAAAAAGAGAGGGCATATGCACAAGAACACCCACACTTGCAGATAATACCCACTTGACCTGGCTTCAATGATTGGATGATCAGAGCACAGAGGGGGAAAAAAAAGAGTAATCTGATACTATTTGATGAACTTGACCTACATCTACGGATGCAGCAGCTCAAAAGAGGGAACAAATCTTTACAGCAAAAATCATTCCCACCCCCTCCACACACAGAGTAGACAGATATGGACAACTTGGACACTGGCTACCCAAAATGGGGGGGAAGGGTACAAAGGCAAGAAGTAACTGGCTTATAAGCTTTCAAGAGGGAACCTAGAGCCAGGGGGCCTGGAGGAAAGCAGAATCTCCAGTGAGTAGTATCCAATCTGTCTAGGCGGAGCTGATGAAATGAAATGCAAATGGGTCTCTTGTGATACAACAGTGAATCATTGTTATCAGGACTGATTGTGAGGGTTGGAAATGTAAAGGTAGATGTTTTATAGTAAGGAAGGGAGTGATTAACTTTCCAGTCTACGAGTGGAGGTCCCTAGGACCATCAACGGAGAAGAGCCGAGAGCGGTACCCTACCCAGAAAAGCAGTGATACCTGAGATGGAGGCAAAGATGATGACATGGAAAGATGGAGCAGCTGGGGACTTTAGATCCAGAGAGGGAGAGGGACTGTGTGCTGAAGACTGGGGGTTGGGAGGAGGAGTGTAGGGGGGAGGTTTGTAGGGTATACACTTTGGTTGGTTGATGATGCATGGAGGGGATTGTAACCATGGCAATGAAACGATATACGATAGAATGACTGTAAAACTAATGTTCTATCATTTAATTCACAATAAAACATTTTTTAAAAAAAGGAGCTCAGAAATAGAGACAGAAGATCCCAGTACCATCATGAAGAGAGTACAAGTGACACAGCACTAAAAGCCGTGGAGCTGCTTCTGGAGGGAGAGGCGTGACCGATTTTTTCATTTTTCACTTATCTTTCCTCTTCTCCCCAACTGGGCTCGCACTGCCCAGCCCAGACGCCTTCAGGCAAACAGACACACACTCCCAAAGGGTCCAGCAATGGGCCCAAAGTTTACCCATGGCACAGAGAGGAGTCCCACAGGCTGCTTCTTATGACATCTGACTCTGGGACCCAGCCCTAAAGGTGACCTGGGTGAGACCGTTTATTGCTACATGCACAGCAAAGGCTACTGGACAGTTGACTATGATTTTATTTTTGTTTTTTGTTGGTGGTTTTTGTCTCTACTTTTATCTTGTTTTTGGTTTGGGTCCTTTTGGTCTCACTCTTTACCTGGAGGGTGGGAACTTTCTCCCCCTACCTTACCCAAGAAGAGACAGCAATTGTGCTCGTATAGTCGAGCTACAAGCATACCCTGTAATATCCCACCCTCTGGACAAGAGCCAATACCAGCTGCTAGGCATTACACATGAAAAGGAAAGCCTATCTCCAGATCATATCCACCAGGAGACACTCAGTAATCTTAACAACACTGCAACATACATCCATTTAAGCATTAAAACCCACATAACTACTGAAAAATGTCTCTAAGAAAAGATCTCAACACATGTCCCAAAACAGAAAAGACTGAGTCAAATGAGCTGGAGGCAGACACAGACTTTCCAGTACAAGAGCAAGCTTTGGATCTGCCTGAGAAGGAATTCAGAAGAACGATATGGAAACAAATTGAAATGCTCCAAAAAGAGGAAGAGAAAAATAAGGAAGAAGTCAGCAAAAGTGCTATAGGAGCAATCAAACAAGATAGATACAGTACTGTGAACTATTCAAAACATGCAAAAAGAGGTCCAGCTGAGTAATAATAAAGTATCAGAAATGGACAATACACTGAAAGGGCAAAGAAGTAGAATTGAAGAGATGGAAACCAGAACCAGCAAGCTATAAGACAAATCTCTCAATAATGCTAAGACAGAAGAGCAAGCATACAAAGATTAAAAAATCTAAAGATGGTCTAAGATTCATGCTGGATAATATGAAAAGGAAAACTTAAGAATTATTGGCATTCCAGAACAGGAAGAATCACAGAAGTCCACAGAGGAGATCACTGAGGAACTACTGGAAGAAAATTTCCCTAACATCTTGAAGGATGAGAAGATAAACATTCAAGAAGCTGAATGAACCACAGTAGGATAGACCCCCAAAAGGAAACCACCAAGACATATCATAATCAAGCTCTCCAAAATCAAAGACAAGGAGAGAATCCTAAAAGTAGACAAGGAAAAGAGAAGTGCTACCTACAAAGGCAAGCCAATCAGATTAAGCTCTGACTTCTGCGCAGAAACCACGCAGGCAAAAAGGCAATGAGGAGACATATATAAAACCCTAAAAGAAAAAACACTGCCAACCAAGAATTGTCTACCCAGCAAAAACTGTCAATCAAATACGATGGGGCAATCAAAACATTCCAGGATAAACAGAAGCTAAGAGATTTTGTCAAAGCCAATCCAGCACTTCAAAACATTCTAAAGGGAGTTCTTTGGAAATAAAACAAGTAAGAATAGACAACAACCAGAGACTGATAGATATGGCAACACCACCTGGAACTCAGTCTACAGATACCAGAGTTCAGAACAGAACAAAATTAAAACAGTGAATTCAAAGGACCAGTGAGGCCAATCAAAGATGAAACTATTAACAATGTCAAAGAATGGGAAAATATAGGAACAGGAATAAAGGTGGTGAGGAGGTCAACTAGATTGCAGGATACAATAAACTGTCTAAAATCATGGAAAACTTAATAGACTATACAGTAACTCCAGAGTAAATTAATACTTCACAACTTACCATGAAAATGAAGATACAAGTAAACAATGAAACATTAAAACTTAGAAGAAACTGACAAGAATTAGCACAAAAAAACATGAACTTAGCACAAGAAGGCATACAGAATAAAGGAGTGAACAGCAGCACAAAAAAATTAACATAATGAAAGCAATTAATTCATAAGTATTGATAATTACACTGAATGTCAATGGAATAAATGCACCAGTGAGAGACAGAAAGTGACAGAATGGATAAGAAAACAAGATCCTTCAATATGCTGCCTG